TGACCTTCAGATATATACACCGATCAACAGTGTTTTCCTTAAATCCAAAGGACAAAATAGTATCATTGAACTTAAGATACCATTGTCGAGAAGCTTGTTTAAGTTCATATATTGATTTCTTAAGTTTACACACCATATGTTCCTTTCCTTCTTCAATAAACCCCACTGGTTGATTCATATAAACATCCTCCTCTAAATCTCCATTCAGAAAAGCAGTTTTAACATCCATTTGATGCAACTCAAGATCATAATGAGCTACTAATGCCATGACAATTCTAAAGGAATCTTTCTTAGAAACAGGTAAAAATGTTTCCTTATAATCAATGCCGTCTTTCTGAGTAAAACCTTTGGCAACAAGTCGGGCCTTGTAACGTTCGATATTGCCATGAGAGTCACGCTTAGTCTTAAAGACCCATTTATACCCAACACTCTTACATCCTTCTGGCAATTCCACAAGATCCCATACACCATTATGTGTCATTGATTTAAGCTCATCTTTCATAGCATCTAACCATTTATCAGAATTATCATCATTAATGGCATCTAAAAATGAAACTGGGTCATTATCAATACTTAGGTCATTTTCTGACTCTTGTAGATAAACCACGTAATCATTCGAAATAGCAGACTTTCTTTCTCTGTAAGATCTTCTTAATACTATTTCCTGTGGTTGTTCTATTATCGGATCATTGTTAATCGCAGGATCATTACTTTGTTGTTCTTCTTGATTGTCGTGTGATTCTACAACATTTGGAACAACAACTCTTGAAGATGTACTAGTTATTGGAACTTGTACTCTAATTTCCTTAATCTCCACATTTCGTGAAACTTCACTCCCACTGGTTTCACCATTTTCAATGAACCGAGCATTTCCAGTTTCAACAATTCTTGTACTATGAGTAGGACAGTAAAACATATACCCCTTTGATTTTTCTGGATAACCAATGAAATATCCACTGATTGTTCTTGCATCCAGTTTCTTTTCTTGCGGATTATAAATTCTTACTTCTGCCTGACAACCCCAAACATGTAGGTGTCTTAAACTAGGTTTCCTACTTGTCCATAACTCAAAAGGAGTCTTTTGAACCGCTTTACTAGGAACCATGTTCAACAAATACATGGTAGTCTACAAAGCATACATCCACAACGATACAGGTAAACATGAATTACTCAACATACTCCTAACCATATCCATTAAGGTTCGATTACGCCTTTCAGATACACCATTTTGTTGCGGTGTACCTGGCATTGTGTATTGAGCACAAATACCACGCTTCTCAAGGAACTTAGCAAATGGACCAGGGTGTTGTCCACTTTCATCATATCTTCCATAATACTCACCACCTCTATCTGACTTGACAATTTTCACCTTTCTGTCTAATTGCCTCTCCACTTCGTTTATATAACTTTCTAAGGCATTTACTGCTTGAGATTTCTCATATAGTAAATAGACATATCCATAACGCGAGAAATCGTCAATGAAAGTGATGAAATACTTTTCTTTATTAAAAGAATTTACGTCAAATGGACCACATATATCAGTGTGTATGATTTCAAGAAGTTGAGTGCTTCTTGTGGCTCCTTTCTTTGTGTATTTTGTTTGTTTGCCTTTAATACAATCCACACATACATTCAGATCAGTAAAATCTAAATCCGGAAGGATTTCATTCTTTACTAATCTTTGCATTCTTTCTTTGGAAATATGTCCCAAACGCTTATGCCACAAATAAGCAGATCTTTCATCCACCAAACTACGTTTAGTGCCAACATTATGATGCAAGGTCATGAGAGTTTCAGCATATAAATTATCCAAATTCAATTTATATAAACCATCATAAAGTGTACCAGTTCCAATCATACATGTACGCTTAAATAAACTGAAACAACTATTCCCAAACTTAAAAGAGTATCCAGCAACATCAAGCTTAGACAAAGAAACTAAATTTCTAGTGATACTAGGTACATAAAAAGTATCCATAAGGTCTAAGTGATATCCAGTGTCAAGGATTAAACGATAAGTCCCGGCAGCTTCCACTGGAACCTTGACTTTATTTCCCATGAAGACGAACTTTTCATTTGAGTTTATGGTTCGGGTTGAAAGGAATCCCTTTCTTTTCGAACCAAGCTTTACGCTTTAAGCAGTCCTTCTGAAAATGTCCAGACTTCCCGCAGAAATGACATTTGTCATTTTTCTTCTGAATGTTAGTAGAGGACTCGTTAATCTTTAATGGTCATTTACCCTTTCCATGTTTCTTAACAACTTTCTTTTTAACTCCTTGATTTTTCATGTAATGAATAGAGTGGCTTCCTAGGTTCTTGAGTCTGGTCTCCTCCTGAACTAACATACTGTGCAATTCATGCACATTCCATTTGTCTTTCATGGTGTTATAATTCATCTGAAACGGACCATACTCAGGCGGTAACGAGTTCAAAATGAACTGCACAAGAAAATTTTCTTCCACTGCCATTCCAAAAGACTTGAGTTTTGCTGCGATATTTGTCATTTCGATTACGTGTTCATGCATACTACGAGAACCATCAAACTTCATGGTGGTCAACGTACTCATCAATGTCCCAGCGAGATATTTGTCAGCAGTTTGAGAGCGCTCTTCCATAAATTTCATAAATTCTTTCACGTCCTTAGTTTTGGAAAAAACATACTTAATATTGCTTGCAATACTCATTCGCATAAACATAAGACTAAGTCTGTTTGACCTTTTCCAAACTCTATAATGAGTTTTCTCTTTGGTGCTACTAGCATTAGTGATAGCAGCCGATTTTTCAACTTGGAAAGCCAAATCAAAATCCAACTCACCTAAGTGAAATTGGACTTTCTCACTCCAGTCAGGGAATTAAATCTATTAAAGACTGGAACAGACGAAGTAAGCGAATGTAGAAATATATAAACAAATATTTTAATTAGCACATGTCTAACATTAACGCTTTGAGTCATAAAAACTAAACATAAATACAGATTCAAACATAAATAACCATTCTATGCATACTAATGTTCTCCTTTGGGAGATCCACTAATACACAAACATAATTACGCTAATATTTTTATAACATTAATGATAATTAAAATATGCATCAACTAGAATCACCTAACACCTTTGGGTATATAAATAAAACTAGTGACGCACAGAAAATTATCTACTTTCATGTTCATTAATTATAATAACAATTAATCAACCTTTGGGTGATCCTGAAATGTTTTATAATAATGAACTTCAATTAGCCCATAAATCATTATTCATAATTTTAGCGTGCATACTATGGGTAATTGAAATAAAATCACTAATAATTTGAAATCAAAATAACCTTAAAATTTTGGCCACTTTGGTGACTAACAAAATTTATCATGCTTAATTTCAAATAAATAACACTTTAATTGCTATTAACCATTCATAGCATTTTTTTTATTAATTTTAATAAATATGTACATTATTCACATAATAAAATATTATGTACCATAAATAAAATTGAAACTCATAATTTCAATTTTCATCCTAATATTGATTTTCAATCCAAGACCTTTATTTGCATTTCACGTAAAAGTGAAATTGTCATCCATTCAAAACTTTCATGAGTAATTTAAACACAGCGGAAACAATACAATTCAGTTTGCAAAACAAAATTCATTCATTTATCAATGTTTACATTATAGGTCCATTAACAAAGTTTTACAGTAAAGCTTCACATTACATTAACAAAACAGTATATTAACAAATTTAAGGTACCCATAACAAAGCTTTACAGTACCCATAACAAAGCTTTATAGTATCCATTTTACAGTATGAGTATATTATACAACTCACTTTAACATAAAAATAACTCTTTAACACGTGCTCTCTACGTGCAAAGTTTATCAACTTTACAGTTAATCATTCTTCCATCATAATTATAACATCCCATCATAACATCTCATCATAATTATAACATACAATGAAACTAATTTCATACATGATTCATCCTAACCCTATCACGTCATTTGTCTTTTCAATTAAAATCAATTACGGGTTCATTCACGCATAGGGGCTATAAAATTGGCTTCAATTTGAACTTGAAAATATAATTAGGGTTTATTCCTTTATTTAATTTTGAGAAAAATAAATTTGGGAATAAATTAGGGTTTGTACTAATTTGATAAAGAAATCCCTAAATTCATAATTAGGGTTTATCTTAATTTGGGAAAACTTAATATTTGGGAAAACTTTCATACAAGGAAAATCATAAATCTAATAATCAGTGCTCTGATACCACATGTAAGACATTATGTAGTTTTCCTACGTTCTTTATTCATTATGGAAAACTACTCTACAGGATCTTTAGATTATTGATTTTCACAATATAACATACATCAATACATGAATCATATAAAGAATACTAACCTTGATCCATGAGAATCTATTCTTTTTCATCTTAGGGATTTCTTTATCTCCTTTTCCCAATCTATCTCTTTGTCTTTCTTTCTCTTCTCACGCTTTCTTGATGGTTTACCGTGAAAAACCTTATGACCAGAGATAGAACCCTTTTTCCATTCAATTAACCAACGTCCATCAAGTTGGTTATCGTAAGTTAATATTTTATTTTATCTTTATTTTATTCTGACTTCACATAATAACTAATAGGTCCTCATATTTTATTAAATCACATTTGGGCCCATTATTATATTTCACATGAGTCACATAATGGAATGAATTAATTAAATTAATTCATAATGGAATGAATTAATTAAATTAATTCTAACAGTAAGCACTCAGGCCATGACAACTAATTACATTGCAATTAAAATAAGCAGACCCCATTAATCCAGTTTAATATAATTAAACACACCCCAAAGTATGGACAAGGATAGTAATTAGGAGCTGGCACATTGAGAGGGTAACCCAATTGAATATACTATTCGACAAAACAATAATCTAAAGTGGACAACATTGAAGGGTGAGCCCAAGGTTGTGATGGGATGATGAGGGAGTGAACAAGTTGGAAGAGTGAACATGGAAAGTGGGGGTATACATGAATCAGCCATAGGTATGAAGTTAGAAGTTGAAACCCTAGGTGAATGGGTTGTAAGACAAACACCCCATGAGTGTTGAGATAATAAAAATAAGGGTAAAGGTGAGTGAGAGATGAGAGGGTGAAGAGTGCAGGCAGAGGGTGTCAATTCCAGCCCCAACTATGAAAAGGCTTATTCAGGACGCAAACGCAATACATATATGTATACATCCTCCAATCCTAAACGCCACACCAATCCTCTAAAAGGGTATGTTTCGTTTTCCAAATCTCAGCTATTATTCTGTTTCCTTCTGTGGAAGGAGGACCCGGTCAGAGAGGTTTTAAGTTTTCGGTTCATTTGGTACCTAGGATTATGATGGATAACTGTTCTCTCTCTCTCCCTCTCTCTCTCTCTCTCTCACTGACAGATCTTAAACACCAACCAATCTCTTCCCTCATTTATTACTTATAAGCGCCCCCACAACTCATACTACCTTAATTCCCTGTGCTGCTTCTACCACTCTATCTATATATACCTCATTCAACCTTCTTAACTCTCAGAACATATCTCACTTTTCTACTTCTTCTCTTAACACTCCCCTCCCCTCCCCTCTTTGTTCTGATTTACTTTCACTTTCTTCTTCCTTTTCTCATATAGTTTTCTGCTTTTTTATCCCTTTCAACATTTCTGCTGTCCATAAATAGGTTTGTTTCTTGCTTATATAGGGACTTTTAGTGATACAATGGCTAATACACTGCCAAGCGAGATTTTTTTTATTAGTTGTTCTAGGTATAGTGATGGATGGGATTGAGCCTCTTTTTTTTTTTTTTTTTTTTTCTGTGGTTTCGTTGGATTGGATTTAGAGGTAGAGGACTAGGGTTAGGGCTGCTTTCAACCTTTTGTTGTTTTTTCCTTTTCTTTCTCTTTTCCGTCTGTTTTGCATGGATGATACTACACTAATGATGATAATCACAAAGTTGAAGAAAACAGTCGCTGATTGCTGATGGAGCATCATCAAGATTCACAAGCTTCGAGGGGTTTTGTTTGGGGTGGTCCCTGATTGCTCCCAAATAAACTAGCCCTTTGATATGGGAATCTTGATGATGCTGCAGCAGCAATAAACGACTAAAACTACCAGATTATTCTGAAGGAATTTTCGCTCAAATTGATACTATACCAGTTCGGAGATAAAGAGGTGAAGCCAACAGCTATATATTTTAATTTGTTAAAAAATATATTGGATTATCAATGACTGACTACTAATGACCCCTTTTTAAATTGCTTCCATTCTCTATTTTAATTCCGTAATAGATGCAAATATAACTTGAACAAATTATAAATTAACTTAAATGTTTCAGCTGAACCATGTTTTGAGTTATAATAATAACGAAGATGATAATGTGAATGGTCTGTGTCCTATCTGATAAGTGGTAATGTACTATAATCCCTGATCTTATGCCATTTTGAGGTTTAATTTTCAGTAATGATGAAGTTGGGGTCCTTACACTACCCTCTGTCATTTGTACTGCAAAACAACATCTGTAAAGCTCAGTAAGTATGTCTGTACCATGATGGAACTCTGTGTACTATCAGGAATCATTGAATGCTTTTACTTCATGGATATTTGGGGTAACATTATTCCCCTCTCCACCTTTCCTGTTTCCATGTTATCTATATTTCAATCTTCAATTTATTCTTGGGTGAAGAGAACCTCTTACTGGCTAGTGGCTAATGGCTACCATATCAGATTCAGCATGGTTAGTTCTTAACTTTTTGTGTGATGTATTTGTGTGTATTGCATTGTCAGTCATTTTGATACTTCTGTGCAGGAAAATCTGGATTAGTTGCTCTTCAGAATACATGAAATTGTATGCTTAACTAGATATATATGGCACATGTGCTTGTTTCTTATCTATAATTAGTATGTACTTCAGTTCCATTTGACACTTTACATTTGGCCTTTTTTTAATGAAGGGAAAATGCTTTAGGCTTTGTTTTTGGTAGAGAAGAGGAAGAGGGAAAGTGAAAAACTAATTTGATTGGTTTGGTTGAGAAAAAAAAGGAAGAGAACTAGTTTTAAAAATGGATTCTACTTTATTATTTCATCTTTATCTTTCGTTTTATTTCCTATCTGATGGATTAAATACAGTTTTGAAAACATTTTTTCTCTATTTTCATACATTTACACTTTACCAAACTGCTGAACATCTCATTTTATTATTTCTCTACTTATTTACTCTATTTATTCCCTGGGAAACCAAACATACCTTTAGTCTCTGACTTGATTTCGTTTATTCTATAAGAAGTTCACACATTCGTGTTCCAGGGAATTAAATAATTGGCTTGACTTGTGGATATTGTTATGGGATGATTTTACATGCAACTACTATATTATGATTTAAGTTAAGCAAACTTAATTGCTTGATCAAATGCACACGTATATATGACGATAAAACTTATTCAATTGATTTTAAAAATTAATTATAAAAGTCACGAGTTAGTTTCATAACAGATATAAATTTTATAGTGCTAGTTGTACATCTAACTAATTTTTTTCACATTTGAATTTAATGTTTATGGTATTTTCAAATTAGGTTTTATGTTGTTCAGGTTCACCTGATTATTATTACTGTATTTATATTATCATTTTGAAATACAAATATGATGTTAAATATGATGTTAAATATAAATCTCCCTTGGTAGTGCAATTTTTTTTCTTTTGGATCTAAAAATGCAAAATTTTCAATTAGATCCAGACTTGACATGCATCATCTACAAGAGGAGATATGGTAAAATTGTTCATATCCAACTGGTAGAGAGTACAACACTGTTTCCCAGCCCAACCATCTCTAGTGTCGTGTGAAAACGCTCATGTGTCCTGAACTTTGTACCATTTTTTTCAGCAAAAGAGAACACAGATCAAGTCACCTTCCATGTAAATATGATTGTGTCCCAACAATTCAAAATTGAAAATCTTCAATCACAACCCTGACTTCTAAGATTAGATATATTTCATAGATTTGCAGGGTCATTTATTTTGTATTAATTGATAAAACAAATATTTAATTCTAATACTCTTTAATATTTATTTTGGACTATATATAGTAAATCCATTATGAATCTTTATTTAATTGGTTGTTTCAAATTGCATACATGACACCTATTACCTTGGTAAAAATGGTAAAATATCCACATTTTTATATTTCTGTTTTGTTCTATAAGAAGTTGTTTGTTTATTTGTCTCCTTAAATTGTTAAGAGAATGTTAACTAATACTTTTTAATTATATCCTTATTATGGGTAGTTTTGAAATATTTTACTTACTTTAATATATTAAAAGTGAGAGAGTGATAAAAGAAGAGTAGACAAGATAGAGATAAGAAATAAGTAAAAATTTAAAAAATCTTTGAATTAGAAGAAATGAAAGAAAAATAATAAAATATTTTTATTATTATTATTTATATATTGATAAAATTATTTTATTATTCATTTATTATATTTAAAATTATAAAATTTGTTAAAAAAATATTTTATATAATTTATCATGTAATGTAATTGTTTTGAACCGAAGAATTATATATATATATATATATATATATATATATATATATATATATACATTATGAAAATAATAGATTATTCATAATTTTTAAATTTTTTTCTTTTATTCACCTAAAAAATGCATTTTATATTTTCTTGATATTTATATTTTTTATAATTCAAAGAAATGAAGAATAAGAAGAGAAAAATAAAACAATTGAATTAAAAAAATTAATGAGAAAATATATCAAAAAGAAACAAGGACACAACTAAAAAAATATCAAAACTTATTACAAATTGTGACAATTTTTATGATTCAAACTTTATATGTGTCGATTATACATGAGTTTACTGAGTGATGAATTATAGGAGAATAAAATTTGTTTTGTTGATGATTTGTCCCTAGTTTTCATGATTTAATTAAAAAAACAATTTTGAAATAACTAGTGATAATTTTGTGACAGAACTTTATCCTATAAAATATTTTTAAAAATTTATTTACACCTTTTTAATATATTATTTATTTTTATTTTAAATTATACAGAAATAATTTATTATTATAATGTAATTTTTTTATGTATATTTGATATTATTATCATTTGATATAATAAATAAGATAATTAGCTGTATAAGATTTTATTCTTGAAATAAAATGTTTAAAATAAAAAAGTGCTGAACATTAAATTTTATGGATAAGCAGGTTCTCATACAGTGATATAAAAACAAATGAAGAAAAATTAAGCTATATATATAATCAGAAGTAAAAAATACAATATTAAAATTTATAACGTGTTATAAAAAAAGGAACGTAAACAAAATGTTTTAACTAACTAAAATAAACATTAATAATTTTTTTTATAAAAATGAAGAACTCGTGTCCAAATATAAATATCACATTAATTAGGATCAAAATCTGAATCATACTGTAATTTTATTCTTAAGAAAAAAAATATAATATATATAAAATGAAGGTTCAATAATTGTCAAATAATTTAAATTTCACATGCATTAAATATCTCAACTTTATGATAATTTTCATTAAAATGTGAACATTACAATGATTAAAAAATTAGTTAGACTATAAAAACATTAAAATAAGATAAAATAAATCAACTTACTAAGATATATATATATATATATATATATATATATATATATATATATAATATTAAATATTAAATATTAAGAAAAAATGTTTATTAGTCTAATAAAATATTAAATTCCATTTAAAATCCAAATTCTACCGTCACATCACAAAATCCCAACCTATCTTCTACCCACTTATTGGGAACTCACAAAATTTTATTTTTACAAGTTTCCATTCATGCATCCCTAACTTGTACTTGCCAACTCAAAATTTATTTAATGAACTTTGTTTTTAAAGAGTATTTATTAATAATTATTTTTATTAATATTTAAAATACTTGTATTTAATAATTTAAAATTATTTTATAATAATATGATATATTTTATAACATTTATATTAAATAATATGTTAATATTTTATTTTAATCATTAATAATAATAAAATTAGATGATTGAATCCTAAATCTATGCTTTATGATTGCTTTCAATCATAACATTTAAAAATTTAAATTATTTATAACTTTGTCCATGTTAATTCTCATATTTGATGGAAATATGAAATATTTTTACAAATTTTTTGAAAAAGTTGTAAAAGTAAAAATTCTTACAAATTTAAATTATTTTTTACAAATAGAAAATAATTAAATTTTTAATAATGTGTGAAAGACTTAAAATATTAAGACATAAAATATAATATTATGATTATCAAATTATTATTTTAGTTATAATTTTTTTAATTATAAGTATTTTAATACAAGAATATCTCATTATAACTATAATAATAAGTCTTAATGATTTAATACTTCTACTCTTAATGCTAGTCTTTAGTTTATTTTCTTAAATGTTAGTAATAAGAAGTTCTTAAACACTTTGCAGTTTTAGAAATAATATTCCCTTCTTTTCAATGATTCGTTAATATGTTTTATAGTTCGGTAAAATTGATTTCATTAATTTAAGACAAAATTTCCTGGATAAAAAGTGTAATTTCAAAATATTTATTTCTTACAATTTTCATCTAAATCAAATGTGTTCTTATTTCCTTTATAATCACAAACATTATTTTTATCTTAATAGGATGAAAGAATAAAAAAGTTTCAGAACTAAAGATTTTTATTATTAAATTATAATACAATTTGTGTAAATTTCTTAAGAAGTGATGTAACAAATGTTACAAAATAATTTTATCTTTCTCTTCTTTATTGTAATAAATAAACTTGAAGATGTTTCTAGGATTTTATTTATGTTGTAATTATATTTAACAATATTTTAATAAGAAGAAGAAGACAAAATAAGATACAATTTAATAAGTTATATTAACTAATGAATACAATGTAATTTTATATTTATTAAAAAAAATTTATATAAAATTTACAATGCATTTATATAATATAATTTAATAATTTAATTTATAAAAATTTTGACATATATTTCTAATCTCTTGAGAATTTAACTTATCGAAAATGAGATTATATATTTATAAAAATTTTAATGCACTATTTCACACCAAAAATAAATATTTATATAATATAAAAAAATAATAAACAAATAATTCAAATTAATAGAATTAATTTATAAAATAAAATTTTTATTATATATATATATTAATATATTTATATATTATAAATTAGTTATACATCAAATTTTCAATTCATGATATGAAATATTAGCTTTTCCTGGAGCCAAGTTTTAATTTACCTATTTTTTATAGTGTTTTTTTATTATATTGTAAACATAAAATATCATAAACTTTATTAATAATTAATTTTTATGAAATAAATATGTTAAATTTTATATAATTAAAAATTAAATAATATTATAATATATAAGTGAAATTATTTTAATATTATACTATAGTGAAGTAAGTATATTTAAGTAAAAAATAAAGTTATAAGGGAATGAATTAAGTAATGTGCATGAGGTCTTGTGAGGATGTCATGACACAAGATGGTGGTTGGTTTGGAGGACGCTTGGATTGGTAAAGGGCAATTTCATGAACAGTGATGTAAATGAATGAAGCAAAAGAAATGACCACTGCAGTGTGGACCTACGTCAATATCTTTATCTATGAGACAGATATCAATATGAAGGCATTAATGGTTTGATGGAAGGCCATGGCCCAGCTCTTGTTGGCCCAAATTCATCCCAAACACAGCATGAGTACCATCTACCCCCTTACCCATCTCTCTCTCACACACACACACACACACACATTACTTTTTTAGTTTTCATTTAATACCCAGAATGTCAATTTTATGTCAATAATTTTATTTATCATTTTTTTTATTTTTTTTGACCTGTGAAAATCAAAATCCCAGCTCACCACTAATGAAAGATGCACATTGATCTAGTTAATTTCCTATGAGTGATTGTAGTAGAACATTTTCCAATTTCACTTCTTACTTACTTAGACATAGGTAATATAAGTCATTATTAAATATTTTTTATTTCCTTGGCGCAAGTTAGTCATACATACTTCCTAAAGTGATATTTAAATTTTAACAATTAAATTTTATAAAAAAAATTAAAAAATGTTAAACTTAAAATAATTGAAATGCTGCCAAATTCTAAGAAGTTTAAGCCATTAAATCAATTAAAAAATAAATTGAGTTTTAAAACATTTTAAAAATAATCAATATGGAATGTGTAATTCATATTATTGGATGGAAGACATACAAATGCATGCCACGTGAAACATAATGTATTCAAATATGTTTTAGGATCTCATAATGTTTATTTATTTATGTTTAAAAATAACATTTTAGTTAACAACCCCACGTCACACTTATCAACATTATTATACAAGGCTTACAAACTATTTTCAACCAATAATAATTGGAGACAAAGTACAAGAGTTGGCTGTAAGCAAAAACTGTTAAAAAAAAAAAAAAAGTGGCAATCGACTCAACCATGTCCCATACTTTTTGGTTTGCAAAGTCAAAACTTAAAAGCAAGGGACACCTTCATATTTTATTCTTCAAAATCAACTATTAGGTTTTTATAAAATATATACATGCATGTATTCTTTAATTTTATATATCAAATTAATAGTTATTATAAATCTTTATTTCTCATAATATATAAAAATCAATATATTATTTTTTCTCTCGTTTGGATGTCATATTATATTCTTATGTTGAATCTTTTTCCTGAACGGAAACGCATAGAGTCTTTATTATTTTTAAAACAGTCATTTTCCTAGAGTTAAATTCATGTAACTGCTTAACCAAAAATTAATAAACTAATTGTCTTACTTTCAAGCAAACACCAAAACAAAATGTTCGGGAACAAAATTTATAGAATGTGCAGACTTATAATTTCTCAGATGAAATGTGAAATCGAAGTCATAATCTAACTTATCCTCTAGAAGAAATAATCAAATACACAGCAAAAATTCTACCACATTTTTCTCTCCTGTTAACAGAAAAAAAAAAAAATCCTACACGTCCCTCAAACTGGTTGTACTTGTACATGAGACATACTAAATTAAACTACCTAAGTTAAAATGTTAAATCTGTGAAATTCTACAGAAGAATCGGACAAACTAAGCGAAAGCTTCGCCCGCAGAGGCAGCTCTGAAAATGAGCTCAAGGTCCGGCGGCACAAAGTAGCCGTTCTTCGGTGGCCCCCTCTGGCTCGTGGCATGAGGCGGTGTCTTCTTTTTGGGAGCGGGTGGACATACCATCAGCGCCCGTATCCGATGAGCGGTGCGTTTGGGCGTGCGGAAACCTTCGTCGATGTTCTTGACCATGTTTTTTAAGCTTTGAGAATGTTTGCGTTAGGAAGCGCGCGAACGTTGATATTTATAGCTGCACCGAGGAACAAGTGAGTTGGGGTAACTCAAGTTTCTTGCTCCGCAAGGAGACAGAGTAGGGTATGTGCTTTGGGTCACGCAAGCGTGTGGTGGAATCTAGAAGAAGTCCACGTGGCAAAAAGAGCGGGATTTTTGGCACTATGTGAGGGCATGGGGCCCACGGGGCAAGGACATAGGATTCTGCTGCCTCAACGTTTTGGGCCTTTTGAATTAAGTCCACACGTCTGTTTTGGCGGGAAAGTTTGGGTCGGTCGTTAATGGGCCACCATCAGTTAATGTGTGCGTAGGAAATGACTTTCTTACCCTTACTTTTTTCTGATGAATGCCACCGCCAAACAAACCTAAAACGTTCATGTTCGCGTTCCTCCGTTAAATTTAACGTCCTTCTGAGTTTATGCTTGTTCTATACCAATAACCATGCGCCACCGTACGGAATTTAATATAAAGTCACTTAACAAGTGAAAATGTATATAAATTATAAATTGTGAGTTAAACTTTTAGGTTTGATAAATCTTCATGAAAAAAAAAATAATAATTACTCACATGATCATATTGCATTTATTTATTTAAACGAATAACACTTAAAACGTATATATGAATTTATAAAAAAATTGCAAACTTAACTAGACTGGTTATTTTTTTATGCTTTTACTACTTTTTAATTATAAACTTAAATTTATATGTATGGCTAAATAAACGATTTTATAAATATAAATCATTTATTAATAATTAATATTTGTTGAAAAAGTTAATTGTTTACTGAAGTTCAAATTCTATATGTTTATTTATAATAAAAAAATTGGATATAGATTCATTGTATTTAAATAATTAAAAAACAACATAACTACTTTATATTATTGCATCTATCCTTTTGGGGATATTTCACAAATTGCTGTTTTTTCTGCTACCAAGGTTGAAAATTGGAAAAGTAGCTTAGACTTGTCGTGTGCTGAAGAAGTGTTTCTGGACATCGTTAATGGGCCATACGCTCCGTAGACCCTGTACCGTGGGTCGCTATAGATCTATTATTAATAATAATAATAATAATAATAATAATAATAATAATAATACATTTTTTAATTAAAATTTTTACTTTAATAATTTTCATAATAAAGTATTAACACGAATTACTAGAGTGAAGTTGAAATATTAATTAGAAATACTTAAATGGTACATACTAAATATATATTGCGGGATGCTATCTTCTTCATAATTGGTTAAATTTTGATAATCTAATGCATTATCACAATATTTTCAATTCAATTAAAATTAAAAGCATAGATTTTAAACATATTATTGTACAATAGAAATTATAACATGTATTCATTTTTGCGTAAACTTTAAAGTACAATTGAAAAAGACAAAAAATTTGTACAAAAATACATAACTATAAAAGATGTACATAATTTATACTTTGTTAGATTTAAATGTTTTTTCAATTAAGATTTTAAGTTGAACAACGGTTTATCTATTGATGCACAAGCGATGTTTTCAAAATTGTAATGTAACCAACAGAATGCTCACTCAACCTGTATAAATAGGATCAATCACGAGTCGAAGAGATTGATTTATGATTCATTAATATGTTTCGTTAACGAAACATAATCTTATAAAAAATTAAAAAACAAAACTGTGTCGAATGGAAAAAAAAAAAGAAAAGAAGAAGCTAAAAGTAACTTAGAGCATAAACTTAACCATTTTTTTACTTTTTTTAAATAATGTTGAAAATGCGAAAAATAAAATAGTTAATTTAAATGCGTTGAGTGTATGATTTTGGTAAGAGAACAAAAATGTTTTTCATTTCATCATTTTCGGTTTTCCTCAATTACCCCTCCTTTCAACCCCCAAGAAAACTGCTGAATGCAAGAAGACGAGACGAGACACCGAAAACACGCTGAAGCAAAACACTCAAAACAAAGCTGCGTCACTGTTCATCCACTGATGCTCTTCCTCAAAGCCGATTCGCTTCCACGTCCACCCAACCAAACCGGTTCGGGTTAACCAACCGGTTCGGCGCTCATCACTAGTCGCGCGCGCACAGAAAAACCGAAATCCAGCTCAAGAAACTACTGCACCATGCCTTTTATTTCCAACATTCAGCGTCAATCTGATTTCAACCTCATCGATTCCAACACTCCCATTGTTATAGACAATGGCGCTTCCTATTTCCGCATAGGGTATTTTAACCCTAATTTTTTTTGCTTTAATTTCCGAATTGATTTAGTTAGTTAAAGGGTCCTTTTGTCTTCGTGAATTTTCAGTTGGGCAGGAGAGTCTGAACCTCGAGTTATCTTTCGCAATATTGTGCAAAGGCCACGCCACAAAGTAACCGGTACTGCACAAGACGGGTTTTCTTGATTAACCAGGAATCAAGAGTCTCCAACTTGAGCTTTAGATATGCAGTTGCTTTAAATACTCAGTGGAAGTGTTCGTCCTTTGAGTGGTTTTATGATTCAAACTCATAGTTGTTCTCCCCTGGAGGATACCTGTGGTTCCAAATAAGAACTTAATTTTTTAGTGTCTTAGAATTAGTTTTGAAAGGACCGATATTGACTTGTTCCGAAGTAAATTTTGTTTTCAATACAATGAACATTTTCTTTTCATACTTTTGTTTTCTTGGGGCATTGGCCTAACATTTGCTCTAGTTATTGTTTACGTATATGTTTTCAATTGTTTGTTTAGATAATCTTTAATTTGGCAAAAAAACTAGGTCCTATATATACTTTTTAATTCTGCATTAATAGCTGTATTTACACAACTGTTCCAACATTGGTCCTTTTTGCTTGCCTACAATTAAAGTGTGGTGTAGTGAATGCTTGTTGTTTCACCCAGGGGAAACTGTCACTATCGTGGGTGACCATGATCCTGCGTTACTGAAATACTTTGACTGCACTCGGTCAGGACCACGTTCTGCATTTGACAGTAATGTTGTCTACCAGTTTGAAACAATGGAATATGTAAATTTGCTCTTGTCTCATGTTTAACTTGAATGCTTCATTATTTTATAAGAACTTGTAAGGATAGCATTACTGACATTTTTTTATCACGCTTAGATTCTTGATTTTGGATTTGACCGGATGGGTGCAACTACTGAGGTATGGACATAGGTGGAGAAGAGTTTCATTTTTATCTTCTTTCAAGCTGTTAGTTTATTGTCTTTTCTTCCTTGGTTTATTTAGTGTTGGTGACACTACTAGATCTAGTGTGCTAGTTAGAGAACATAATGTCCTTGAGTTGGTACATAGAAGTTCTTTGGTTTAATAAATATACATTCTACCTTTTTTTGCATTTGGTTAATTTGACTCGCCCTTTCTAATTTAATGTTAATCGCCAGAGCAGATTGATCATCCTGTCCTCATCACCGAATGTGTATGCAACCCAGTCCAATCTCGTTGTAAAATGGCAGAACTTCTTTTTGAGACTTATGGAGTTCCATCAATTGGTACTAATACTTGGCAACCTATAGAAAATACTTTTTCATATTTAATTAGTGATTTTCAGTAGAAAACTGATTTCATACAAAAATCTTATGTACACTGTTATTGTCTTATGATTGTCAGTGGTTTTTCCCATTAAGGATGAATGTCTGACTTATTTTGCTAGAGGTTGTACGTGTAATGTTGCTTCTAAAAGTTAGTTGGGTTTCTCTGTTCTGGCAGCCTTTGGTGTTGATGTGGCATTCAGCTATAAATATAATCAACAACAAGGAGTTTGTGCTAAAGATGGTCTTGCTTTGTGTCCTGGATTCAACACTACCCATGTGATTCCGGTATAGTTTTTATCTTAATGAATTAAAGGATCCTATATGTCAATGAAACGAGTTTGTCATTTCTGTTGCAGATTATTGTAATATAATCTACCTAAACATGGTTAAATTTGTAAATAGGATATCATTGTATATTATCATCATCATCTCTGTAATTACAACAGTCATTTATTAATCTTCTTGCAGTTACTCTTGAGCCTAACAGATTTTGTCTTTTTGTGCAAAGATTGATAAGACAATTATTTTATTTTGGACCATATATGCCTTTAGTAAGTATCAGTTGCAAGTTGCATTTTTGTATCAATGTACTCCATTTGCAGTTTTAGAATTATGTCAGCCATAGTAGTGTTAATAATCTATATAATTAGTTTTCAAGATAGCTTGGTGATTAATAACAATTGTTCATTGTACCATACATAAAGGAAATTCTCCATATGGTCCTTTTCAAAAATTTTGAAGTAAATAAATTAAAACAATTGCAAACTTATCCTTGTAAAAGAGAGTGCAGAATGTTGGCATCACTTTTATAGAGGATATGTAATGGATCCTCAAATATGGGTATGGATGAGGGATATTCCACTGTGTGACACCTCCCTTGTAATCCATTAAATCCAAGTTAATTATAGTTGTGAATCAAATCATCGTAAGACCATCACCATAGAATGAATCTCCTCTTAGCTTGCTGTTCATGAACATAGTTCAGGAATGGGTATGAAACCCATTTTCATTCAAGCTTGAGTTATAGATTCAAAGAACTCATAAACAAATTGAAAGGCTCTTTTAAAGTAAAAAAAGTAAAATAAGAGATGAAGAATCACACTACTTGAGTAGATTCAAGATAAGTAAATGAGATCGTCACACCTTTAGTAGAATCGCAAGTCTCTGATCATTTCTTAACAAAATTTCAATTTATTCTAAGTTGTCAACTAATGACACAAAGGTGCCTTGGAGCATGCTTTCCATGCCATGCTCCTTCGTGGCGCACTCCAAGCCTAGAGTTCTAGGAGCTTCTTTAGCATGCTTTCCTTTCCTTACTTGAACCGTGAGGTGTCATTGGATTGGGCCTTCAATTGATGTAGTCAATTAAGGTCCAACAAAATATCTATATATTCAAATTTCTTAATCTAGTACAGCAAAGCAAACAAGTCTTCAGCCTTTTTAGTCATGAAAATAATGACATTTTTGTGAGCATAATGGTTCCTGGTCGTGCTTTGTGTAATTTTTCCATAACCTTCTTTGTTCATTTTCTTCTTCATCAATGCACTCAGCAATATACCCTAGGGAGAACAATTTTATTAAAATTTATAAATACCATAAAATAAATTCACAAATTTAATTTATTTTAAATATTGAAATCAATGAAAAGAAATCCACCGGACATGTGATTGTGCAAATTGTTGATATTTTTTGTTTGCGCATTTTCAGTTTGTAGACGGGGAGCCAGTGTATGAAGGATGCTGTCGTACTAATATTGGTGGGTTCCATGTGACTAATCAGTTGAAGCAACTCCTTTCACTTAAATATCCTTATCATTTGTGAGTATCAAATCATTTGGGTTCTGCTACTAACTAGCTGATTGTTAAATTTGGAGAATATTTTATATTTTATAATGAATGCTCAATGCAGGGCTAGATTTACATGGGAAAAGGTTGAAGACCTGAAGATGGAACATTGTTACATTGCACAAGATTATGCTTCGGAAGTTCGGTTGTTTCAGGTATATGTATGATTTCTTTTTTTCTTTTTCCACCAAGTTCCTTTATTACGTCTTTAACTCCATGAATGATCTAATAGAACGGAGCCATGGAAGCCGAAGGAAAAACCAGATATTGGCAACTCCCTTGGGTTCCACCCCCAACTGATGAGCCTCCTTCCGAGGAAGAGATTGCAAGAAAGGCAGCAATTAAAGAGAAACAAGGCCAAAGGCTCCGTGAAATGGCTGAGGCAAAGAGGTCTTCTAAAATAAATGAACTGGAAAATGAATTGCACGGTTTAGAGTTTCTTTTGCATCAGCTTGAACAAGTGGAAGAGAGTGAGGTTCCACCATTCCTGGCAGAAACTGGCTATGTCACTAAGCAGGAGATAGAGTCTGCACGTAATAAAGTTATGCAATCTTTACGGAAAGCAAAAGGTGAACCAAAGAATGAACAAGCTGAAACTGAGAAGGATGATCTTGCCACTAGCGAGAAGTATTCTCTTATAAACATTCCCGATGATATGTTGAGTGAAGAGCAGGTCTGTTTTTGCATCAAAATGCCGATCTCATACATTATCAAAAAATTGAGCCGTGTATCCCCACACTTTCTGCTTATTTTGGAGAGAGAAGCTTTTTTTTATCTTGTATTATTCAGATTTTTTTTTAAATCTTTGGGAAATAAGTTTTCTCAATCATGTGATAAGTGTATTCTTACATTTTTTTTTCCTGGAGCCACATTTTCTTACAATCTTTTATAATTATATTTTTCATTGTATCTTTGCGCGATGTTCTTTGTGCTCTGTGGTTAACAACATTAATTTCATTTTCTATATTGATATTTGACAGCTCAATGAAAAGAAGAAACAGTTGTCCCTCAAATCTATGGCCGAAGGGAGGCAGCGATTAAAACAGAAACGCTATGAAGAGGAATTGGAACGAGAGAGAAAACAACAGCTAGAGGAGGAGAAACGCTTGTATGTTTGATGCTTTAGTTTCTTTATTAAGTTTCATATTGTACACTGTTTTGTGGCTTGATTATGTAAGAGTTTTCCCAAATTGAACCAACTAAATTGGGAGAAAGCAAGTGATTGAAAAGATCGAGAATTCAATCTAATTTATATTTCTCTAGCTTGAATCTGATACGGATTTTGAAGGACAAGGATACCAAGAGAGATGAGTCTGAAGTTTAGTATCAACATTTATGCCCAGGATACAACTTTTGTCCAAAGCATGATTGCTATCTTGAATAGGCTTTTGAAGGATTCTTATTATTATTTTATAAACTTTTTTTGTCCGCTTAATGTAGAGAGAACCCGGAGCTTTATTTGGAGCAATTGCATGCTAGATACAAAGACCTTTCAGAAAGAGTTGACCAACAAAAACGACTTAAGACAAATGGAGGCAGTTCAAACGGAAATAATCTGTCTAGTGGTATTGGCCGTGGTGAAAGATTGAATGCTGCTCAGAGGGAAAGAATGCGTCTTCTGACAACTGCAGCTTTTGACCGTGGTAAGGGTGAAGATACATTTGGTGCTAGAGATGAAGATTGGCAGCTTTACAAATTGATGAGCAAAGATTATAGTAACGATGATGATGAAGAACCTGATGAAGATGAAGTAGAGCTGGCCCGCATCTCCTCTAGGCTACAGGTTAGATCATCTTATAGGGGATGAAATCCCATAAAATTAATTTATGAATGTACAAGATCACCTTGTATATGGGTCTTGATTTACAATTCACAAAAGAACTTCTGTTAATTTGGTAGGACTTGGATCCAACATTTATACCCAAGTTAGATGCTGGTACCACTCAACCTGCTGAGGTGCCTCGCTTTCGTCCTCTGACCAAAGAAGATTTTCAGATTGTTCTTGGGGTCGAAAGATTCAGATGTCCTGAAATACTGTTTAATCCAAACTGGATTGGGGTTGATCAGGTAGGATTAGACGAGATGGCGGGGGTCTCAATAAGGAGATTACCATACAAGGATGAAAGCTTGGAAGAGAGACTGACCAGTTCCATACTTGTTACTGGTGGAAGTTCTCTTTTCCCTGGTATAGTTGAACGCCTGGAAGCTGGAATTCGGATGATTAGACCATGTGGCTCACCTATAAACATAGTGAGAGCATTGGATCCAGTCATGGATGCATGGCGTGGGGCTGCTACTTTTGCCTCAGACCCACAGTTCCATATGCAAACTTTCAGTAGACTGGATTATTATGAAAAAGGTGAAGACTGGCTTCGCAAATATCAACTGCGGCATACATTGTGATTGATTACAGTACTTTTGTCTAGAATTTTTTTACCATAGTTTAGAAAGTATTCTCATGTAGTACAATCTGTCGTCTTGCTTTTTGAAGCTAGAACCGGGAATATAAGGAAAAACATGGTGCTACATTTCCTGCATTGCAATTGATAATAGCTTCTATCCAGTGAATAGCGTATACTTCGTTGATATTATACTTAGTGGGCAGATTCATTGCCTTTTGTTCTTTTACGTTGTTGACATATGCTCCATATTTTCAACTCAAATCGACGGAAAGGCATCCCCATTTTATTTATTGTTTAAAAGAGATACTTGGGACAAAAGATGTTGAGAGGAAAACATATCGACTTAACTTTTTTATTATGTTCAATGAAATACCAAACTTCTGAAAATTACTGACTTTCTTTTTTTCACAAAAACCACCATGGAAGTTGCAGAGGTACTCACCTAAATAATTTTACAACGATGTTATACCTTCTTTTCGTATCAATGATATTTTCAAAATGATAGTTGGAGATTGATTCATTGAAAGCCATTCTAGGCAAATTATCTAAAGTGTTTTTCATTAATTGTTTCAAAATCTATGGTTAATTAGGTTCATTATTTTTGTATCCATTACTTCGTTTCTTTCTACAGAGAAGACAGTGGGGAAAATATTAGTAGAACGATTTGAAAACCATTCTTGAATGTTTACTCAAGAATCAGTATTATTCACAGATCTGCCATCGCTCTTTCATGCATTTATGCAGTTAGTAATTCAATTGTTAAATGCAGACGACTCAGTTTATCTTGGTAACTCAAACTTAAAATATGTATTTGAGATCTAACACATTCTAGGTTCGCCGAACAATTATAGATGCACTCAATATACGAATGCAGGGAAAAACGATCACATTATTTACACCTAAAAATGTGAGTTGTTATTTACACCAATAGTGTGGTTCTCTTGATAACAAGATTTATTATTTCTCATACTTCTCCTTTCTCTCTTAACTGTAAACGTTTATGGAAAAAAGAAAGGGCAAGGATATGATTTAAAAAAAAATTAAAAAAATCAAAAGGTGGAGAAGAAAAAAAAAAGCCTAGTTCCAATCGCTCGTGGTGTGTATGGGATTAGTGGTGACTAAACAAAGTTAATGAGGCATTCTGAAGTTGTTAGGGGTATTTTCCCTCACATCAGGATCTCAACATAAGGGTCTAGGCTTTTGCTAGGATCATGATTAGTCCAGGCTTATTGATGTTGAGCTAAGTGGTGCATCCTTTACTGTTAAAAGAACAACTGATGGTCATTGAACTCAGACGAGACTTCATCGGTGCTTGGGAACTATGCCATGGGGTATGAAATTTCATAAATTTATATTGAGGTTCTCCCTAGCCTTTTTCTTCAGATCATCATTTTCATTGTGGTCAGAACACAGCATACCAAAGTCATTTAGTTGCCTGGATTTCTCATTCCCAGTATAGCAATGTAGTTAATTATTAAACACGAAGGAAGCAGGTCCATTGCAGTTTAACAAAGTCATATTACATAATTTTTTGAAGAAAAAAGTTCCTAGTAGAAGCCAGAATAACAAGTCCATAGAGACAGCTTGAATTACTTGGAGGACATGAAGGTGAGTATACTAATGTCATCTGTTACAAATTACAATGATGTATTTGGTTTAAAAATCTGCCTAGCAAATTAGCACGCTTGAGAGAGGTAATCTGGCTGCTTTGCAGTTGAGGTATTATGTCTTTGAGACTGAGTGATCATCTCTTGAGACCAGTAACTAACAATGAGTTTCATTTGTCACACTCATTCCGCTATTGTCATCATGGTGATAGTAACTAAGGGTATTCAAGCGCAACACTAATTCCCTGATTAAACTCAAGTCACATTTTTTTCCTCTGAAACTAAATACAATTTCCTTGGCATGAGACACATATGGGAACATTACAATCGCAAATTCATCATTACTTCTCACCACCCTCCTTAAATACTACCACGAATCAATATTCATACACTAATGAGCATAAAAAATCAACTAGAAAATAATGAATTTCACAATGACACTAGTTATCATCATCAAACGGGGCACGTGCAACTCAAGCAAAACTCATCGCTAACATTCCCCGGACAAAGAGTATAAAAGAATCTAACCTATATCTTAGCATCTGGCTTCAAACCTTGACATATAAAATAAATCTCTCTTGACGAAGGCCTTGTAGCTTTAGGTCTGAGCCATGATGTCTTCTTAAAGAAGGGTTTAGAGAGCTTGTTAATTTCTGCAGCAAATAAACATTCAAAGAACTCAACAACATATAAGAAATTGAACACTAACATAGACTTTCCTTATCTAAATATTAACTTTCAATCCGATCAGTTTCACGTTCTGATACACCAGATTCATCCTAGTTTTTGATGCAAATAAGTTGAAGGAATTAGTATGATAAACTATTATAATCACCAAATAAGTCAGTCTATCAATTAAACTTTCAGCGATTAAACAGAAATGTCAAACATTTAAAACTCAATACACCAAATTTTATTTTAGACACATATAAATTACATTATTCAGACAAGAAAGCAAGGAAGCACCTTTGGCATCTTCACTCTCGAGAAGTTTGATAATAAGGTGCCCACCAACCTTCAACACTCCTTTACCGTCATCTGAACAAGATGGATCATCACTAGTTGGCTCCTGGTGAATTTTGTTGCCGAGAGCCAAATCCAAGGCACGCATTCCAAGCTCAAACGACAAGGCCGCGTCTTTGGTAGTGATTCCAGAGACCAAGGGACACATATCTGAGAGTATCACAGAAAACCCTTTTTCCTTAGGAGAAAGTGCTCTGAGTCGGTGGTGAGAAAGGGTGGTGACGTCAGCGGAGATGGTCTGAACCCTAGAATCGCAGTGAAGAGGGGGAACCTTGACTTTCTTGGTGTCGACGCCGAGGACGGAGCCGCCGCCGTGGAAGGGACCCAAGCTCTGACAAGCCACCTGGAGCCAGCCTCCGGGGGCGCAACCGAGGTCGAGAACGGAGGCGCCACGGTTGATTATGTTGTGTTGGTTCTGAATCTGAAGCAGCTTGAAGGCGGAGCGAGCAACATAGCCTAGCCGTTGAGCCTCCTTGTAGAAGAAATCTGCTGTTCCACCCACACCCATCTCCTCTCACCCTCCTCCCCAAGGTTTCAAAATTACTTAATTAACAATTTTAAACACAACTTTAATTCACATAATTTACTCAAATCAAATTATTTGTAAAACAATTCATTTTTATATATATGTACATTTTATAGAAATGCTAATAATACACTTTTTTTTTTAAAAGTTGCTGAAAAATATAAGTTTTATAAGCTACTTTTTATTTAATGAGTATTTCTATTTTATAGATTTTAATATCTTTTAATTAATATAGCGTGTGTTAGAAGAAAAAAACGTATTAAAAACATGTCATTGCTTTTATTTTGCAAAAATATTGAATGAGATGTGATTATAAATTGGATGTTAAACTAAATGAACTTGACTACTGAGATAGAATATTGAATTTTTTATACATGTTGAAACATATAAGCAAAGTGAAATGATAGCCATCTCTGATTAATTTTAAAAATAAATATATACAAAATTTGTGACAAAGGTATAAATATAAAAGTTGTTGCTTTTCTTGAAACAGTGTCTGAAATTATAATGAAGGTGTTTAATTTATCACTCAGTTTAAATTCATTACATATGATAAATGTGTTTAATTTCACAGAAATTAATTTTAAAATCTAATAAAAATAATTTATATAGGTTGTTGACGTAAAAGTAATTACATAAACACAATCCGTGCATAGCTATTAAATGCTTTGGCAAAAAGAAAAATAAAATTATATAGTATAATTTTACATTTTCATTCAATTACAATTTATATGCAAAATCAAATTATTAACTTTGTATAATAATTATCTTAAAAACTATGTTAATTTTTTTTATTAATTGACAATGTAATTCTTTTACATTAGTTTTACATAATCATTACACAATTTGACAAACCTTTATATTTTAATATAGAAATTACAATTAGAGATTAATTTAAACATATATAGTATTCTGGATTTGTGGATGTTCATTCTTCATCTCCTCTTTGGATCAATAATTAAGTGAGAATATAATAAAAAAATAGATTCTGTGGATAAAGAACGTTTTAGGCAAGCTTCTACATAAGAATTTTTAGAAGAGAAAATTAAGTAAAATACCCCATAAGTCAAAATTAGTTTATGTATGGTAAAAGTCTTTTAATATAATCTTTCTTAATTTATGTATAAACTAATTTTATTTTATTTTTATCTTGTAAACCGTCTTTATTGAAAAACTCTCCCAGAATAGCAAAGAATATACATAATGTGCCCTACACTAACAATTTTATTTCGATGTACCTAAAAGGAGTTTAACCATGTGAGGCTTCTTGAACACCATCTCCGAATCAAATATAGATTTCAAGGGCCCAAGTCCTAAAGGTCTTGAAGATTTTTAAACAAGAAAAGCAACATTGTAGTTGATTTTCTGAAAATTCCTTGGGGCATTATGTACGCTGGGTAGTTAAACAAGTAGTTTGTCTTGATCAAGCTTTGCTCACTTAGTTGCTTATATGAGTGTGGGAGGGCCAGGTTGGTCCCATGAATGATTAAAAGGAAGCTTGAGTTCAAAAAGAGCACAAAGAAAGAAAAAGTTGGTGGTTGTGTTGTGGGAATGGAATGCATGGGAGAAGAACAAGTACAAAAGTTGAAGATATGATTCGCAGTTACTTGCTTGCTTATAGGGGAAACTTGGGTTTTTTTTCTGGGGATTGCGTAAAGCTCAATAGAGCCTGCTGATTTTTAGCGACGGATTTCGTTTAAAGAACAGACATGCCATCCCAAATGGGCCTCATGGTCCACCATTGTCCCACAAAGATTGGGCACGTTTTCAATTACACCATGCATGAACAAATGGGATGCATTAAATCATACTAAATACAAATACCTTATCAATTTTTTTATTCTCAAGTGTATAGGGTAGTAGTCATTCAATCTATTATTCCTAATTGTTGCTTTTGATGTCATAGGATATTGATTGGTTCCTAACTTTTTTCCACCTTAGCAACTATCTCTGCACTATACTCCTTCTCCCCTGTGGGCATGATCTTGTTTTTTACAATCATACCTTTCTAGATTACTGATGTAATATTAAACGCTATTAGTGCATCATGACACCCCTCTGGTAGAGTAAACTTGTTTCTTGAATTTTTCATTTCATTATCAAGGTTTTGAAAAGTAGCTAGTGTTATGCAAAGACATGAAAGTGTGTATGCTCTCTTAGTACACGTATTTTGATGCAAAAACTCATCAAATAATTTCTGTTTCTATTTTATCATTTTTGGTATTTATGCATCTTAAAAACACTTTGTTGATTGCTGCTACTGTTCATTAGTTGGATAAGAAGCATTTTGTACCCCGTAAATAACACTTCTTATCCACCCTACACAGTACTCCCCCTAATGATATATCTAGTCAGGACAGAACCCTTGTTTCCTATAATTTTTTCATGCTCAAATCGACCTCGAGCTTGTTGATTCTGCTTTATTTCAAGGAGCTAACGACAACAATAATTTCCATTTAGATTTTTAATTATTCTTTAGTTGAAATAACAGCGGAGACTACGCATTTCACTACATGAAATAATGATATCTAGTTACCTGGAGTTGAAAGCAAATCTGTCACTAATAATTGACTGAATTGGATCAGATCGAAGTAAACTTATTTGGTGCCTTAGAAACCAAACTTCAATCCATAGCTTTCTATTGCCTAGTACATTGCTGAATGTCTCATGGAGTGAAGAAGCTACTTGTAATCAATTCAAAGACCAATAAAATTTAAAAATTTATGCAACTGGCAATATCTAAATTGCAAGGAATAGATTTGGTCTCTCTCATTAATTGAGCAGAGAATGGGTATTAATCATTGATTACTTTGGCATCTGTTAATTGTCAGTGCCAACTGAATTACCTACCATCTTATGATTGAGACTTTTCACTAAAGGAAAGATAATAGGCATAATGATGTTTTTCAATTTATGCATTACTAAACCATTGATCACTCTACATTCAAATTCAGACCACTCTTATAAGTTGTGTGTGTGTGCTTGAGAGATGCTTGTTGCAGATTTATATAGAAATGTCTAAAGTTACCATCACTAACTGCCCTTATCATTGTTATGTGTTAAAAGCCAAGTTTACTGTTTTGGTCTTGCTGGTGCATGAGCCATGATTGAACAAAATGTCTTACTATAAAGTTGTGGAAATTGCGAAGCAATAGTGATCATTGAAACAGCTTTAACAATATTAGGTGGAATAATAAACACTTTCACAGGTGCACAATGTTAGCATCCCTGCCTGAGAAGAAAACGAATGTGACTAAGATGTGTTGTCGTTACTTTGGTAGGTAGTAGTAGGAAGAACGGTAGCACGCATTTCACTTGTCCCTTCCTTTTTCTTCGTTTTCCACGTCCTTCACTTGTGCCATGAAACGAGGCATGTACGAACCAATTTTTATGGTATGGAAAGAAATTAATATGACTTGGAATTTCAGACTTTGGAGTCAAATATATTAGATAAGATTGCGCATTGGCATTCTTTCAGAAATGTTGTGTGCAGCTACGTAGTTGTTGAACTACGGTTTAATTATGCACACTACGTGGCAGATCTGACTGATTTGGTAGATAATACGATCCAATAATTTAACCAAGTCACGCCCTCGAACTCTCAAAAGAAAGCTGACTCAGGACTCAAGAGTCTCAGTAGTCACAAGAGTGACCAGATTTTAATATTTCGATGAATGCAAAATTGAAGCTTTATTTTACTATTTACACAATGATGTTTTTTTTTTTTAATTTACTTTATATAATAATTATTTTGACAAGACATTTATGTCATATATAATAATACCCCCATCAAGTTATCGTTTATGGGTGAAAACACAAAACATTAACATGATTAAAAAACAGTAATTGTAATAATTTTTACAGTAAAAAAACCGCTATAACTAACCGTATTCTAACCTTTATGATTTTATCATGTAATTTATAGAATAAACATATAACTTTATTATCTAAACTAAAGTCTAAAACTTGTTACTTTATGGTAATTGAATTGTCCCTTGAAGAAGAACGGAAAGTTATCCGTTCCGTTAAGTAGTACGTGGGAGGGATGTTATGAGTCGTTAGAATGTGGAAAGACTGAACGTCATCCCCAAATGTACGGCAAATGCACGGCGTAATACGTGGAGCGTTGAATGCGGTGGACGCTTCGATCTCACGGGTGGGACCCATCTTTCTAAATCTATATTCCTTCCATTTCTTCCACATACTTCGCATCTTCTTCCTCCTTCGCACACCACACCTGCTTCTGTTCGTTCAGTTTGCTAAAGTTTGACAAAGCTTTTGTCTTTTATATATATAATAACTCTGTCGTTACAAATAGATTAATATGAATGAAATTCGAACCATCTACGAGTGAGTTACTACTTTAATGTGTGAACTTGACAAACCTGACATGGAATACCATGTGAAGATGGTTAACAAATTTGACTAGTGTTTTGTACACGTGATTAATATATTTTTATATGTGAAATAAATAGTGTTCTTTTTTTTTTGGTGATGCATAATTTCAACTCGTTCTTTATGATAAAATATGAAATATTAGGTTTTACTTTATCAGTGTCTCCTGTTTTTGCTACAGCGTCTCTGACTATATAGACCTGCAAATATAGAAAAATCAATGAGCATGGATTTTTTTTAATTTTATTTTAACACTTGTTTGGTTTAGACTATGTAAAGACGCTAAAGTGGAAATGTGAAAAAATTAATGATTGATGGTGGTTTGGATGGGCGAATGTGTAAAAAAAGAAGAGATGAGAGATAATTTTTCATGCATAATTAGTATTAAGAAATGTGCACAAATACAACACAATTAATTATAGGTTGCACATTTAATTTAGTTTATTATGTTGTTTAAACATGATTTAAGAAACTATCTTTCGGTACCAATAATCAATTATGAATAATTCATAATAAATTAGGTATATTTTTTCTTTTCTATAAGAAAAATAAATAAATAAATAAAAGAATAAGATTAGCACTAAAAAAAGTTATCGATAAATAAATATTTACTTATTCTTTCCTTACCAAATCAATTATTTTTTTGCTTAATTTTTATCCTCTTTTTATTATTTTTCTTATTGTTTTTTCTATCAAAAGAAATGTTGAAAGGAAAGTGGAAAAGTAATGGATTTGCAGGCGCAGCAGTTGTGAAAGGTGACTTGACTCTGACTTAGGTTTGCATTATTTCATGATAACTTATATTTTGATTAAATATTATTATTTAAGTTTTTAATTAGAATATAATGTACTAATTTGTATGGAAACTGATGATTTATGATTATATTTTACGTCAAATGTCGTTGCCCTTTTTTCAACATTAAAAATTATAAATATATAATCAACGAGGTCTTCATATATATATATATATATATATATATATATATATATATATATATTAAAGTGTATCTTAGTTTTGATGGGTATCAATAGAATGTTAGATAATTTTAATTAACAAAAGATTTTGGTATAAAATAATTGATAATTATCCATCCACCGTTATACCCTTTTCATTTGGTCGTCCCTATGCACTATTCATATGGAAAATAAATCACACCCATAAAATTATATTCATAGTGTGAAGCCTTACACTATTGGATCCCGATAACTTTTGACTCGAGTCCAAGCAAAGCAACAACCACCAAAGTTGAAATATTGAGGTTAAAAACAGAACACAAACCTAGTAAAGTTAGAAGCATAAAGAACAACCTCTTATTCGAAAAAAGAAAAAAAAAATGGTTTCAATGTTTGGTTTGATGGCACAACTTGCAAACGAAGCAAGAAGATTTGATATCAATTTTGAGGCCCTAAGGTCCTTAACATCTTTTGTCCCTACACTCATCACCATAATAACCATCACTATTCTCTTGCACACCACCCACTCCTCTAGTCACTACTGTTAATTACCAATTATCATAGCTTGCCATAGCAATGACGTCATTAATAATCCCTACACATGAAAAAAAAAATGGTCAGCTAGAATGACTTCACATCACTCTTCTCATTCACCTTGTATTTGATACATGTGACATGGTGTAGAAACACAAGATTTTTTCCTTTTCTCTCATCTATTCAAACATGTTTTCATGCTTCAGTAATATAATGAGGTAGTAAAACTTAATATTAATTGTGATTCAAATAGTAAATAATATTTTAGGCAAATCTCTCCTAACCATGACAACACACTATTTTTTTTATAAAAAAAAAAAGTGGAATTAAACTTTTTGATAATATTGGATCTACGTACCACTTTAATCAGCAAAAGAAAAGAAGAAAACAAAATAACCTAGAAAAAAAGTTAATCATCAAGTTAAACCAAGAGTTATAAATCGATGGTCTGAAACAGATCGCAGTGGGGCCCACTTTTTTCCGCCACTCCCTCTATAAATATCAACACGCATTTCCCTCTCCCCTCCTCAGAGCTCAAACACAAACCCGACCGAGAGTTGGTTTCTGAATTCGTTCCTCTTCTCATAACTCCCAAACCCTGTTCAGTGTTCCCACTCACAATGGGTTCGTTCAAAAAAATCATCACCATTGTTTCCCTCATAACCATTCTTCTCACTTCCGCCGAGGCCCGAATTCCGGGCGTGTACGGAGGCGGCGCGTGGGAGAACGCCCATGCGACGTTCTACGGAGGGAGCGACGCGTCTGGCACAATGGGCGGCGCGTGCGGGTATGGGAACCTGTACAGCCAGGGATACGGCGTTAACACGGCGGCGCTGAGCACGGCTCTGTTCAACAGCGGGCTGAGCTGTGGAGCGTGCTTCGAGATAAAGTGCGCCGACGATCCGAGCTGGTGCCACGCTGGTAGTCCATCGATCTTCGTGACCGCCACAAACTTCTGCCCACCGAACTACGCTCTCCCCAGCGACAATGGAGGGTGGTGCAACCCTCCCCGACCACACTTTGACCTCGCCATGCCCATGTTTCTCAAAATCGCCGAGTACCGCGCCGGCATCGTCCCCGTCTCTTACCGCAGGTAACGGTTTTTCTTTTTCCACCCATTTTCTCTCCTCTGTTTAGCACCATATTTTGCTTTTACTTTTTTTTTTTTATATAACATTTTTTAACATTTTAAAGATATTAATAACATACTTTCTCTCTCATATGTTTTAATAACATTATTAATAACACTTTAAAGTGTAATTATTTTTCTGTTATTGACTGTTAACCTTCTTTTGTGGATTCTTTACAATTTTATTAAAATTACAAATTTTGCGGAATCTCATTCTGAAGTTAGAATAGTGTATTACAGTTTTTTTAATATAAATCTCAATTTATTTAGGGTTTAGCTTTTGGATGTTGTTAATGCAAAAGTTTACATGGTCAAAGCTAGAAGTAAATTTCAAAGAATTTATCATGGAACTCACTAACGTTACTACATGTCAATGTCAATCTAGGATTGACATGGTAATATAAAAATAGTAACTTTTGCGATAGTTATGATAAAAGTTACTAAATTTACCATAAATGGTAAATTAAATAAAAATGGTAGACTATTACTAATTCATATAATAAGTATTTTTAACAATATTAAACATTTTTTTTTGTCTCTCAACTAAATTCATAATTTAAAATGAGTTAAAAAAGAAGTTATCTACGCATTTATTTTGACTTCAAGAGTAATGATCTAAGTGAGTATGACATTGGATTTCCAGCATTTGGGAAAGGTATAGTTTTTCGCATTATTGTGTGGACACTGGAAACAAATTATTAATAATTTATAAAGCAGAAATTAATTAATTTTAATATTGTAAAAATAAAGAAGGGGAGATTTTGATACAAAAACGCATAATGAGAAATGCGACGTCGTTTAAACCGACAAAGTGTTCTGATATTCTTACTCTGTGTTGGGGACTAGACAGTAGACAATAGGTGATTCGTAATTCGGAAAAGTGAAAACTGATCAGAACCGTCGATTGTTATTTGGTGGCCCCTATCTGGAGAAAGAGAGAGAGTAAACCTGAACCGTCCATCTGAAACCGGTTCAGGATTTTGACAAACGTGCACCTTTTGCCGCGTAATTGCACGAGTCTCGAAATCAACCAAAAATAAGATTAATAATAATAATAATAATAATAATCTGCTACATTGTAAAGAAGTTATTGTGCGTGCCGTCGTGGTTTGGTTGTGTTTTATTACGAATAATGCCACTGACGATTGTCATTGGGTGCGACGATGTGCAGGGTGCCTTGTCGAAAACAGGGAGGGATGAGATTCACGATCAACGGCTTCCGTTACTTCAACTTGGTTTTGATCACCAACGTGGCGGGTGCAGGGGATATATTGAGGACGAGCGTGAAAGGGTCTAAAACTGGGTGGATGAGTATGAGCCGTAACTGGGGTCAGAATTGGCAATCAAACGCTGTTCTGGTTGGTCAGTCACTCTCCTTCAGGGTCACAGCCAGTGACCGACGCAGCTCCACCTCGTGGAACATTGTGCCCGCCAATTGGCAATTTGGCCAAACCTTCACAGGCAAAAATTTCAGGGTCTAATTGTGTTTTCTGGGTCCTTTTTTATTAAAAAAAAAAGGAAGAAAGAAAAGAAAGAGGAAGCTTTACCTCTATGTAGTTTTGAATTTGCCTTGGGATGTGGATATAAGGAGAAAAAAAAAATGGAGGGAAGTAAAGTAAGTGGTGGTAGTGATTAGTGAACTTTTTGACTTATTTTCTTTGTCTTGATTGTGAAAGAAAGTGAAGGGATATGAACATGGGGTTGTCTTGGTATACGAGTTTGAAGTGTTATAATAGGATTCAAAAAACTGGAGGGGAACATTATGTGAAACTTTTGAAGGGGCTGAAGTGGCTTCAAATGTATGAGCCCGCAGCTGTATGAAAAGATCAAGTGTGGTTATCTTTATAATTATTCTTGTTCGCTTTTTAAGCTGGGTTTTAATGTTTGTTTTCGATGTAGTTAGATACGGAGTGATTGAAATTTGACAATTTTGTTTGATACACGCATGAGAGGTTCTTAAGCTGGTAAGCACGCTTAACTGCGCCGAAAAGCAAAAGAGAAAAAGAAAATTGTGGAAATGGGTGCTAATTGAACCTGTTTGTGTCTGCAGAAATTGTTAGCAAAGTAGATTCCATACCTTCCGTGTTGTTTTTCCTAACTTGTTCGATGCCAAAATAAAAAGTAACATGGATTAAAAAACTAATATGTTAAAATATCTTTTCTTTATTGAATGAAATTTTATTCTCGTTTTACTAGTAAATAGTGGAATTATTAGAATAATGTAGAATTTCACTCTAGCAAATGCGTGGAAGTCGGAATTTAAACAGGGAAAGTCAACATGAATATATTATGTTTTAATTAAGAAAACCTAATGTTTATAAATATAAATAGCATATTAAAGTAAGAAAAATTGCTAAAGATAAATTTTATCATTTTTTATTGAATAACTACCAAAATATATTGTAAAGAGAGAGCTAAAATTAATTTGACTAATTAAGACGAATATGATACCAATGAGTGTGAAAATGATGACTTTAAGAAATATAAATATATGCTGGTTTTGAAGCGTGAGGCTCGCACGCTTGTCATGTGGGAAAGTTTTTTATTTTGTCAGCAGTAGGGCTTGATCTTCTTATTCTTCCGTTGTTTTATGCTTCATTTTTAAGCTATACTTTCGTTTTGTAATTGATTGTCTCCTCATCGGTTCAGGTCGTTCGTGTGACAAGATTAATTATTTGAATATTATATAATTTTCAAACATCGACCTTTTGAAGAATCTATGATTAGTATTTTAATGATGAAATAATTTATACATCTCATATAGGTCGATGATCATTTTATTAACTTAAATGTTATTTTTTTTATGGGAAGGCAAGAAGGCGTTTGTCACGTATCAGTATTGATGAAATATCATATCCAGTCAAATCACATGTGTCCCTTTGTCAAAGTCACAAAACCGTGGAGGTTGGTTATATGGAAAACTATTAATCTACAAGCGAAGGAAAAAAGTGATATCGAGAAATCTGAGAATGCTGCTTAACCGAAATTGTAAAGACGTATGACATTAGTTTTATGGGAGCAGATTTCAGTTCTTTTCCCTATTGCTGAGCTATGCATGATGGGTCCATTTAAGAATGTGACTAAACTAGTTATTTCGACTACATTTCCATTTTCACATAATAAGTCAAGTAATTTTTTAATATTAATTTTTGATGATAAGAGAAAACTCATAATCCAACTTAGAATAACAAAGTTAATAATTCATTTTTCTGTCCAACCTACAATACGCATAAAATGATGTACAATCTATAAACTTATTCGTGTCCAACGCAAATAGGTTCAAATTATATTTTCTTAATATTTATTTCTCCTCCTTATTTTTATTTATAAAATTTTGAAAAAATAACTATGTTTAACTAACTTCTCTTTTAAGTTTCTCCAAACTAAATAAATAAATAAAAAAAAGCATTTTAATATATTAAAATTAATTTATACATCAGTTAAAAGTGTATTTTCAAAAAATTATGTGAAAGAAATTCAATAAATTAACTTATGTATAAATTAATTTTAGTTTTTAAAGAAATTAATTGTTTTTTTTTCTAAAAAAAGCTTGTGGAGTCCATAGTCCTCATGTTTAAAACTCAAAATTTCTTCTAATTTCAAGTAAGTTATTATGATTTTAAAAATAGTCCCTAATTTTTTTAATAACTAAATTAATATCAATAATTAAGTAAATTATCCTTTTATGAGACAATAGTCTATTTGCTATTTTAGCATGGTTAAAACACATGATCGTATCTTGTTACAATAGAAGATAATGACTTGTTTCAATTTTAGTTAACTTTCTTCATTATCTTGAATAAGCGCATCTTAATGAGAGCAAAGATTAATATAAACGCTGTTTATCAAATGTGCTGGAACAAGCAAGCTGCCAAAATATCGAATATACTTGATGCATAGATAAGACTGAGATTCTATCATGCTGCCTATTTAGGAAATAATTTGTATTTATATCTTTATCATATAAGACTTAAATTGACTGTATTTACAAATTTAGGAAGCCAAATGGGAAGTTTAAACCTAAGATGGAACTTGACCTAAACACTAATCATAATTATTAAGAATACATCTTTGCAACCAGTAAAATCTCCATAGATGTATGAGTACCAAATGATATTAAATTAATTTAAATAAACCTGTATTACTTAAAATTATTCAACCCTTAAATGTGGGAGTTTGGCCTCAAAGCACATTTAGCTCTTGGAAAGCAACATGCTTTGTTCCATGGTTACATTCAAGCATAATCAAATGATAGGAGAAAAAAAAAAAAATTATGAACACTATAAATAAGTTAGCAATATTATAAGAAAAGATGCTGCCTGTACCCTAGATTTCTAGTCCTTAATTCTTTGTCAGTAACAAGATCACATATCAGTAGAATGTTTTTCTTCCTAAATGATTAGTTCTAAAGAAAATTGAATTTGTAGTTGTCTTTATAATTACATGCATACCAGCCTTCACACTATCCCCCTCTTCTGTTTAGATAGTTTCCATTGCATCAATAACAATCTTACTCCTTCTTGCAGAGTAGCTCTCCTTCGCTCTTCAAAATTCCATAATTCAGAGGTTGTATACCTCCCACTTGGATTATATGTATTGATCTCTGTCAAAGCTGTCACCACAGCTTTGTAGACTCCTTCACCCATCTCATGTTTCAGTCCTTGCAACTTTTCATCTTCATCGGCTATGATTTCCTGCAATGAGAAAATATGAAACCAGCTAAGCTAGAAAAACATATATTAGATAAATAATGCAATAAATTATAAATTAAAAAGAATATGAAAATCATTGTAGAAATCAAATAGCTATAATGAAAAGATATTGTCCCAAACTACTGAAATGAGCCAAGCAAGTTGGAGATGCATAAAGGACTTTCCTAACTATAGACAACATTTATCCTAATTCTAGAATAGTTAATATAGCAATGACATTCAACATTATTTTTCTTCCAACTCTGTGACCATGAAAAGTTCATGTAGGGATGAAATGAAGGCAGGTAAAATCAACCTTTCAAAAACATGATCAAAGAAATAATGTTTCAGATGCCAAATAATTTTTAACAAGTATTTAGGTATCAAAGGTACAAGAAATAATGATATGTATAAGCTTAAGTAAGGAACACCTTATGTTTCCCTTCAATTATGGTAATTTTAAATGGATGCCACTCTGGGTCCTTTATATACTCTTCCCACAATGAACACAGTTCTGAAGCTCTATCTTCTGCATCCTCATCATTGTATTTTTTCTTCATAGCTTCAAGGAATGGTCTAATATCAAGCTCACCCATTCTCTTCACACCAACATTAGCACGACAAGATACCTCTTTAATGCCCTGCAACATAAAATTTCAAGAAAGTTTAGAAAAAGTTAAAAAATTCAAAACATAGAAGTATGAAATGAGTATTGAAACCCCTCACAATCAAAGTTTAAACATTGTTAACTGGTTTGCAATATGGTCATGTGCACAATTTAAAGTCCGTTACTACATCCAATATGCAGGATGTGGGAGGAGATGTATACATAGTTCATATACTATTTGAGTTTGCAATACTCTTGAAATATCAATTTATGAGCTATTAACAACATATTTTTCTCGTAACATTTAAAAAAGTTACTAAATACACATATAAGTACATATGAAATATAAGAAATATGAGCAGGTAGTGTAGGAATTAAATTTTAAATATACTCATCCCTTAATATCTTGTTTGTACACACACATATATTAGTTTAAAGATTCACTGTCAAATGTGTTTTGGACTTCAAATGTCCCTCCTTCCTTTTCATGAGACGACTCGATGCTTTCTCGCCTCAGATAGTCCTTATCTTTCATGTGTACAAAGCACGGAGAATCCAACCTTTCCCTGCCCTGTTCCTTCTTATGGTCACACCTTATGTCCCATATTAGAATTAATGGCATTTAACATATCTAAGAACTAATAGGTTCAAGCCTCTCATTTAAATGCATGACAGCATGTATATAAAAGCAATCTCTTTTTTATCTATCAATGTGGGATGTGCAAGGCAGTTTTATATTTATATTAATATCACGTTTTCTTTCATGACAATTTAAATGAAGAAGTCATCATTGACAGTCAACATGCTCTAACAAAATCAGCGCTATGGCAATAGAAGACCTTTAAGAAGCACTTACATTAATCAATTCTTTACGAGCTTCCTGTAGCTCATCATTACTCTGACGCTCTTTGATAATCAGTGTTTGGTTCAGGGCATCTAGCTCATGTAGTGACTGTTCCTTTTCTCTTAAATCTTTGTGTAGGACATCTACCTTATTCAGAACTTCCGAGTCTCCATCATCTTCGATGTACTGCATGACACTTAATTTTCCTTTCAGTTGTTGAATCTCCAATTCTAGTTTTTGTTTCACTTCCAGTTGTTTTTCAAGCCTGACTATTTTAGCATGAAGATGTTCTTTTTGCCGCTGGATAAATAGAATGTCAAATAACCTTAACAATTGGCTATTCTGATGTGGAGAATGACACTTTCAGTCATTAAATAAGCCCAAAAATATGATACACAAACCTTTTGATCTGCAGCCAGATTCCAAACATTTTCACCAGCTTTCTGTTGCTCCAGAACAGCCATTTCCAGTGAGCTATTTTTCAATGCATTCTAAAAAGACAATAGACATCAGCATTTTTAAACATAACATTCTAACTAATTAAAGGATTTCAAAGGCATAAATAAAACAAAATGTCAAATATTTTGCTTATAGATTTCATTGCGAGGTTCTTATGGGGAAGAACAAAATCGTGTGAAAATAGAAGAAAAAAATCTCGGTGACATACTTGGACAAACAACTCTAAATTGGTGGCTTTTATTTTCACCCTCCTTTCCCTAAATTTCATTGCATAAAACTAGATGGAGTTCATATTATTCTTGACATCCATTTTAGAATACATTACATTCAGCATTGAGAAAAAAATTAAAAAATGTGCACACTTCAAAAAAGTTAAAATATTCATTGACATAAACAATCTCATGTAATCCATTTATGACTGGCAAAAAAAACAAAAAAATTCAAAGAAAAGAATGTGGAGCCTTTAATTGCATACTACTATTATAGAAACCATTTTAATCAAATTCCCAACATTTTTTAACTTAGTTATCCACAAAGTCAACTGAAAACAACAATTTCCAATCATTAGGTGATCATCAATTTGATAAGTAAAAATGGAAAAGTTATTACCTTCACTTACCAACTCCTCCATTGCAATCACTTAAACATACAAATATTAATCACCTTAATTAATTATCCTTAAACAATTTATTTTTTCCTTCAATTTCTATTTCACAGGAATCTAAATCACAAAATGATAGAAGAGATGCAACAACAACAATAATAAAAACATCACACCTCCATAATCTCATCTTCCAACTTCTTTCTTTCACTTTCATTATGAGCTTCACGTTTTTCCAGTTCAATTCTCCGCAACTCAAACTCTCTTTTCTGAGATTCCAGTTGCAACTTAAGCCTTTCATGACCATTAAAAATATTCTGGAAGTGCTGACTTGCACTTGACTGTATCTTCTTCATCTCTGAAACAAGCAATCATGACATAATATTATAATGTCATTAAAATCATTCAGCATCATTTGAAAACAATGAAATATCAGAAATGTATTGTAGAAGATCCCGCAGAACATTTATTTTTACAACCGATGACAACAACAATAAATGAGTCATGATCCGGATTAGAAAATAAAACAACTTAGATTCAACAATAATAGATACCTTGATTGTGTTCTTGAGTGAGTTTATCTATTTCCCCCATCAAAATTTCCATGCGACGTGAAGTTTCATTGTATATTGCCTCCATCTCCATTAACCGTTTCTTCTTGACCTGAAGAGTATTATTCAAGCTGGACACAAGTTTATCCTGTATTTGAGCTTCTTCTTTCATGATTTCAGATATTGTTCGAATATCCCCCATCTTTCGCAGTTGTTCCCCAACGATATTGTTCATCTTGTAGTCATCAGCTCGAGCAATCCATGCATAAATACCAGACTTTTGCTCAGCACTAGCAAACCAGTTTTTTTTTCCATGATGATCTAATTCGTATGCTCTTTCAAATGCCAAAGCATTATCTAAGCCCACCCAATCTTTATTGAATTCCATAACTGCAGTTCCAGAGTGACCCCAAAAATCCGGAAGAGTGCGGACTCTACATGGATTAAATCCCCTACTTCGGTGTTCATCCCTCAGTTTGGAACCACTTTCCCCTACACAACGCCCGTCTTCTGTCTGTTTAGTAGGAATATTAACCAAGATCCCAGTCCACGGCCACACAAACAGCTTCTCAGAATATAAAAAAGTACTAGTTTTTGGTGTACCATCCACATCCATAAGATCTATTTTCAAATATTTCATTAAAGCCAGATGATTAGCCTTTTCAGTGGCACTTCTCTTTTGTGAGCTGCTCTGACCCACCCCTGAAGCATGATCAAGGATTTCCCTGTACACATAATCTCCCTTTCTTTTTTTATTAGGGCAGTACGGACATGAGTAAGCCATTTGGGAGGTTTTCACAATGTGACTTCCATTTTTGAGTGCCTCATAAGATTTATGTACATGCCACCCATTTATTTGAGTTGCTCTTATATTATTATCTTTATGAGAATAATGATTCGTCACCATTTCTACTGGGCTGGTTGTTATTGTGCCTAAAAGACAAAAAAATAGTGTCAGTAACAAATATGTGATGTTGCTTTATAGATTAGTTAAAATAAGTATTGTTGCAGATTGGCCAAAATATGCATATTTGGTAACTGAGAAAAAGAAACAAAAGCATTGTCATAATTGTTTCATTAACAGGGGATCACCTTGATCCATAGGTCTTGAGGGAGATGAAGCACCCACATACGTGAGATCCTTTTTCAAATATTTTTCTAAAGCCAGATGATTGGCCCTTTCATTGAAACTTCTTTTTTGTGATTTACTATGACCCACCCCAGAAGCATGTTCAAGTATTTCCCTGTACACATACTCCCGATTTATCTTTTTATTAGGGCAGTATGGACATGTGAAAGTCTGATCTGAGGTTTTCACATGGTGTCCTCCCTTTTTGAGTTCTTCATAAAATTTATCTACATACTGCTCAATCTGAGATGAACTCATATTGCTATCTTTGTTAGAGCAGCAACCAATTACAGTTTCTCCTGGGCTTATCATTATGGTTCCTGAAAGATATATATATAAAAAAAAAGTATTAGTACTGACTGCCCTTAAGTTACTTAGATGATTTTTACTTCTGTTAAAAAATGTCACTTCAAATACTACTTCCATTATACATCATATTGAATTGAATTAATCAATTTCAGGATAATCAGTAACTAAAAAAAAAAAACTTGAATAGAATCTCTATATGATCTTTTCATTAACAGCAGGGGATCACCTTCATTTACATGTTTTGAGGATGAACCACTCGCATGCATAAGATCCTTTTTTAAGTATTTCGCTAAAACCAAATGACTAGCATCTTCTCTGAAACTTCTTTCTTGTGAACTAATATGATCCACTCTGGTAACAGGGGGGTTACCTTCATTTACCGATTTTACTGGATCACTCATATGCATGAGATCATTTTTCAAATATTTCATTAAAGCCAGGTGGGTAGCTTTCTCCCTGACACTTCTCTTCTGTGAATTACTCTGACCCACCCCAGAAGCATGTTCAAGAAGTTCCCTGTACACATAATCCTGTTTTCTCTTTTTAGGACAGTATGGGCAAGAAAAAGTCTCATTTGAGGTTTGCACAAAGTGATTTCCCTTTATGAGTTCTTTGTAAAACTTATCTACATACCACCAATTTATTGGAGGAGATGCATTCACACCAATCTCCTTGTTTGAGCATTGAGCCATTTCAGATTGTCCTAAGGTTAATTTGGTACCTGAGAAAAAAAAAAGTGTTAGTACTGACTACTATCTTTATGGTATCTTCATTATTCTATTAAATATAGCTGTGAATTGACAAATTTCTGCATATTCAGTAACTTGGGAATAAAAAATGTTGAACTGAAGTTTTGTTATAGCTATTTCATTAACTGGAGGATCACCTTTATCAACGGGATCTGATGAGCGATCAACAATAATAAGATCATTTTCCAAATATTTCACTAATGCAAGATGATTGGCTCTCTCCCTAGCACTCTTCTTTTCAGAACTACTCCGACCCACCATATAAGCATGCTCTAGAAGTTCCCTGTACAAATAATCCTGTTTTCTCCTAGGACAGTATGGACAAATGAAAGTCACATCTGAGGTTTTCACATTGTAACTTCCCTTTTTTAGTTCTTCATAAGATGTATCTACATACCACCAACTTATTTGAGATGTGTCAGTATCCTTGTTAGACCACTGAGGCATTACAGTTTCTCCTGGATTTAATAATTTGACAGGCAAAAGACAAAAAAAAAAAAGATGTTAGAGCTGACTGTTGTCATGTTACTTTATCAAATATCTTAGTTATTCCATTAAATATTACTGTGAATTGACAAGTTTTAGCACAAGTTTTAAACATAAATTATGTTCAGTAACTTCATTAACAGGAGACCTTTGTCTGCAGGTTTTGATGAGCCATCCAGATAAGCGAGATCCTTTTCTAAATATTTCATTAAAGCCAGATGGTTAGCCTTCTCTTTTGCAGTTCTCTTTTCTGAACTACTTCGACCAACCCCAGAAGCATGATTAAGAAGTTCCCTGTACTTATAATCCTGCTTTCTCTCGGGACAGTATGGACAAACAAAAGTTTCATCCGTGTTTTTCACTTTGTAACTTGCCTTTTGGAGTTCTTGATAAGATATATCTATGTACCACCAACTTAATTGAGATGCACTTGTGTCAATATCCTTGTTAGAGCATTGAGCCATTACGGTTTCACCCAAGGCTCTCTATTATGGAACCTGAAAGATAAAAATTATTGTGAGAGACTTAGTGTAAGCAGTTGTTATGTTGCTTTACAGATCTCTCCTTGAAATATCACATTGAAGTAGCAAGCAAGGTTTTAAAAAACTGTCCACAATTACAATTTGATTGCCTTTTCAAGGGTTTTTTGGGGACACAATGCGATAACAATTATGACCACATCAAACATATTTCTCTGTATTTTCCTGCAATATCAAGAAATGTGACAAAACCACAACAAGGAATGTAATTAAAAACCTTTGTAGCAAGTAGATGATTACTTAAAAATTATAATGTCTTTAATATGGAATAGAAGGGAATAACATTCTTTCAAATTTGTTGTTGACAGGAATATGATTTTTTCGGGTCTCTTTTTTCTTAGTCCTAGGTATGCTTTTATAAAGCCTATGTTGGACCTTCTAGAGCCAGTTACAGTCCATTAATCGTATATTCGGTCAATATCTGCCATTCGTGGATAAATCCTCTCGAACGGGATAGCACCTGACCACCACGTAATCACTTAGGGAGTAATCACTTATGGGGGGGAGACACATACGGGTCGGACACTACAAAATTATTTTTAGTCATTCTGAAATATGTTCACAATCTTCATACTTTCACAATGATGAATTTTATCCTCAAAGTTTAAAAACATATGGATTTTGTCTCTTCTAACTTTAAAAATATGATAAATTTATAGAAGGGAATGAATAAATTCATGTATTTATAAAGTTTGATGACCAAATTTATCCATGTGAAAGTATAGGGATATAACCATGTTGGACTGAAAATATAGGAACTAAATGTACATTTTTTGCTTTTTATAAAAATATAGCTTAGAACTTAAGTTAAGACACAAGTAAACAACTTGTAAGTTCAATCAAAATGAGAAATACATAACAGCACGAAATATTCGAACAATCTGCCTGGATATTATAAATTCAACAGCCATCAAACATGAAAGAAGAGAGACAATTTTTTTCTTTCTTTTAATTTTCCATTTTTTTTCTTTTTTAAATCATTAGACATTTTCAATAATTTAGCCATGGTCTAATAAACAGGAATTCATGCCTCATCGTCCAAAATTTGAAGTTGTCTCCAGGAACATTCCACAGGTCAAATAGAAAGGAAGTACTAGAGAATTATTCACGCAACAAATCACAGTCACAACAAACACCGGGATAAATTTTCCAAAAAACATTAAAAAAATGTATTTTCCAGAGGAAATAAGATAAAACAAAGCAACAAGACCATAGAAAACGAAAATGATCAAGAAATTCACTTCACAGATATGCATGCAGTGCAACAGAAGTATAAAGGAGTCAACCACATGCGATTATTTCTGAATTCTCAATGAAAAATGCAGGATTTAAAAAATACCGATCCGCGCAAGATGAGAGGAGCGCAGAGAGGGTTGTTATTGTTGTTCTTCTTCACATTCAGCAAATTAACACAATAAAGGCCAACAATAGATAAATTGCAGAGGAAAAGTTATGAGATTGGAGGGAGTGAAAGAAAAATGGTAATCACAAACTAGGGTTTTGCGCTGGGAAGTGCGTAATGCGTACTATGAGCAACTGCCATTGCCATTAAAGTTTAGCTTTCCTAGACAGACCGCATCAGTTGCCCTGGTTGGAGTTAACTGGGAATACCTCTGAAATGGGACATGGTTAACTTCATACCTCAAAATCCATTCATTAGTTATATATATATATATATATATATATATATATATATATATATATATATATATATATATATATATATATATATATATATATATATATATATATATAAAAAGATTGGTTTTATTTGTTACGTTTTATTATTGTTTGAGTGTAACAGAAAAGTTGTTGTCAATAAGTTGGTAATAGTATAAATTATAAAATAGTTATTACAAAGTCAATATTTTGTAACTATGTAATAGTATAAAATTAGACTCTGTTAGTGAAAAAATCGATATAAGGATTGAAAAGTGGAGGAAAGAAAATCGAGGATCATATAATTAGTTAAAAAATTGATAAATCAAAAAGATGGTTAGAAGACATTTGATGACCATGTAACAGTATGAACACATAAATCGAGAATTGGAATCGAGAATCGAAGGAAGAATATTTGATGTCTATTGCTGAAGAAAATCGAGAAATTAGAATCAAGTGTAATGTTAAGGTTAAGGGAAATCAAAAGCAATTCAAAGTTCTCGAGATTTGAAATCGAGATAGAGGGAAATGTTAACCTACATGACTATCGAAATTATGGCTAAGTTATAAATTGAGAAACGGTTAAAACGCGTATGGAACGTGGAAGCAGATTTCTAAACCATAGAACTAAGGTAAAGCTTCGAGGGACGTGCACGTGGAACGTGGTAGCAGTTTTGTTAACTGCTCTTAGAAGGTTACCTGAAGGATGCTCTATAAATAGAGCGAAGATTGAAGAAAAAAGGGAAATTAACAGAGAGAACAGAAACGCTAGTGAAAAGTCTACAGGAGAACAACTCATCATGAAGTTTCTAATGCTCTGGATTTCCATTATCGTTGATTGTCTTTATCGCTTTCTTTACTTTCCCCGGTAATTTACTTTCATGCAATTTACATTCATCAATTTAAGTTTCTGTACTTTCAATTACTTGTCATTTACCTTTAATGCAATGTAAGTTTCTGTACTTTCAATTACCTGTCAGTTACCTTTAATGCAATTTAAGATTTTGTACTTTCAAATTCTTGCCATTTACCGTTTCTGCAATTTCGATGTCCTGCTATTTACTTTCATGCAATTTTAATTCGTTGTCATTTACAGTTAATGCAATTTCAAGGTTTCCGCATTTACAATTCTCTGTAATTTAATATTCTGCACTGCCTTTCATTTTTGATACGTTTTACTGCTTTCTTTACTTCGTGTTTCTTAATAAAAAATACCAAAAAGAATACTTTCGAGTGTCAATCTGTATGATCAGTTGCATTGTTAACATTTCTCGATATTGTGACATTTTTTATTCTCATACACGTTTTGATTGAAAACTATTGCTAGCCTAAGTAAAAAGAATCTACGTGGTTGAAATTTGATTAGAACCTAAGTTTCTAAGAAATCGAAATCGATCGAATTTTCACCAGAAACAAATTGGCACGCTAGGTAGGGGGCCTCGTTGTGTCAAAAACACAAAAAATTGGCTAGTTCGAAAGTGTATGAGATTAAGGAGTGGACGAGTAGTAAGAATGAGTCAAAATCCACCGAATAGTCAGAATAACAGTGAGATTCCAAATAGTCTGAATCCACCAAACACTGGGGATAATGGAAATATGTCTGTAATATCGACAACTGTGAGTGCGTCGATGCCTATGAGTACTGAACAAAACCCAGGGACATTAACAAATACTCAATTAGGGTCTAGTACTGTAATGTCAAACAATATGCAAACCACGGGAAACCCCGTAACAACATATGCAGGTCCGCATATGAGTGTAAGGCCGCCTAATTTTTCGTTTAATAATATGAATGGGGCTGATACTTCTTCAATACAACGAAATACGAGATTTAACCTAGGAATGCCCCAAAACTTAGGAACGTTTCAAACCTTAGGTATGCCTCAAAATTTTGGAGTATCCCCGAATTTAGGTGTGTCCCAAAATTTAGTAACACCTCAGAATCCAGGGAATGTGCAAAGTTTAGGAACACAACAGACGTCTCCAATATCAAACCTAGATCACAGAGCAAATTTGGATCACGGGAGATATGCATTCGATAGAGATTATCATCGATCCAATTTCGAGGCTATCGAAAATGCTAGTACTGGAATTTCCAGTAATTCATTAGGAGTGTTTCGGCAACAAATGAATGAAAGCAATTTCGAGATGGTTAATATGTTGTCACAACAGTTGACTACAATATTAAACTCATTAGTTCAAAACACTACCAATAGTTTTGAGATACTAGCAGATCAAATGACACGTATCGGGGATGCATTGGCAATACCTCGACAAACGAGGGTCGAAAATAATGTCAATCAGGATAATAACCAAAACGTTAATATCAATCCCCTTTATTTATTAAGGAGAAATCGAAATATTGATCAATATCAGCATGTGAGGAATGATGCTTGCGAAAATTTAAATGGGGGATTTCAAAATATGTACAATCAGAATAACATGCAGTACAATCATATGCTGGGACAAAGGATGAATCCCCAAGAAGTGGAATTAAGACCACCCAACCAACCGTACTTTGTTTCTCCTTTTCCAAATACGATTCTCGAGACAGAATTACCTCGAGGATACAAAATACCCAAATTCACCAAATTTGCTGGAGAAATTGGTGAATCCACTATCGAGTATGTGGCGCGATATCAAATCGAATGTGGAGATATAGCAATGAGTGAGGAATTAAAAATGAAATATTTCCCTAGTTCGTTAACAAAGAATGCTTTCACTTGGTTTACTTTGTTACCACCTAATTCGATATACAATTGGTTTCAGCTGGAAAGAAATTTTTATGAGCAATTCTTTAGGGGGGAGACTCAAGTAAGTCTTATCGACTTAATGAATATAAAGAGATATATTCATGAAAGTGTAGATGATTATTTGAATAGATTTAGACAAATGAAGTTGAGATGTTTTACTCAAATTCCCGAATTTGAATTAGTCAGAATGACCTCTGCAGGTTTAGAATTCTCGATTAGGAAGAAGTTGGTTAATTTATCATTGAATGACATGACTCAGCTAGTCGATAAAGTGAGAAGAGTGGAACAAATCGAATATGAGAAACAAAGGCACAAGAAATTTGAAAAACCTATGAAGAAAGATAGGGTAGCGTATATAAATGACGTATATGAGGAGAATCCCAGGACAAAAGTAGAAATTGAAGAATCTGTCGATGAAAAAGTAAATATAGCAGAGCTCAAAGTAGGAGCTCTATATATTTGTAAACTGCTGCAGAAAAATGAAGTAAAAGACAAAATGACAAATCGCACATA